TAGAACCTCAGTGACCTTGACCTCAAGGTCAAAATAAGTTTTCTGAAAATCTCGTGAATACAAGAACTTGAGAACAAGGCATGATAGGATTTTGAAGTTGATATCATAGGTGTTTCTGCTAGGAGGCTGAGGGGTAGCACAAGCAGTGGTCAGTATTTTGCATTTTTCCTAATTGTTCTGTTTTTGTGTGCTGTTGCAGTCATTTACATGCTGGTGCTGGATGGACAGGTGTGGGTGCCATGAGCAATGGAGGCATGGTGGAGGCTGGGCAAGGAGTCAACGGGACGGTGCTAACCAACCAGGCTGGCATGGGTACTGCTGGCTATCACACTCACTGATCACAGCGTCCGTCTCCCTCTAAGCCTCCGAGGCCACAAGGATGATACTCTTCTGGGGAAGGAGTGCAGTAGAAGTGCTCTGTCTGTCACCTCACCAAATTACTTTGTTAGTGAAGCTGGTACGCCATTTTATCAACCATACAAGCCCCAAACTTCACTCACCGCCCAAATGTGCAAGTGTAAAGATAATTAGTCACACTTTAACACAGTTAAAGCTATCGCTAATGCACCTTGCATTCCTGGGCCCATTTTATTGTTTGGTGTACTACTGGCCAAATGTAAATTCTCCTATGATATTTTGAGCTCAGCCACAGTTTAGTTTAAAAGGAACCTGTTTCTTGAATTAGATTTCTATTCAAACAGCTGCTTTAATGTTTGTTTTCAGCCCCCAAGAGCCAAAGAGCAAGGGCAGGATTTTATACCAATATTCAACGATCGTCCAGGGCGAAAGAGGTGACGAACTCAATAGTTGGCATAATTGCTACAACCTACAAGATGTGTCTTGAATAAGGGTACGGGGTTTTGTTTTGTGGTTTTTTTTAGTTTTCTTTCAGTTGGAGAATCAATGTCACTGTCCGTCTGTCCGGTTGCTAAAGTAAAACACAAGTCCGAGCGAGTTCTCAGGGTGTTGTCAAGTCATTCTGTGAAATGTAGGATATCACTGAGTAGAAGGAGCCGGCAGGTTGAGGGAAGGATGCGGATGCAAACAAAAAAAAGAACAACAACAAAAAAATCAAAGTAAATTTGAGCGCTACTTCACTTGTTATCCCGGACAGGACTGGGCAGAGAATCCCATCTGCGGATTAAGAAATGTGTGTGTGTGCTTACGTGTGTGCATGAACTGATGCTTTTACACACAAGACGATACCCTGGTCATCTTCCCCTGAAACCGAAAGGACTATGCCATCTTTTCTTTTTTCCCCTTTTTTGCTACAAATCTAATAGATGAACTGCCATTTCTTTTTTTTCTTTTTGTTGAGCAAATTTAAAATGCTGTTATTGTAAAAAGAGCTTTTGCCTTTTTGTGTTTCATTTCAGGACTCTGTCTTATAAAGAAATGTTGAAGTGACACCATCTAATCATGTGATGCGCAAAATCTTCTGTTTTCTTTCTAAAACATGAAGTGGCTGTCAACTGTCAACTTTTATTTTTTAAATTAGATGATCTCAAATAAAATGCAGGGATTACTGCCACTCTTATCTTACTTATAGGCAGACAAATATTGCACAAATACTTAAGTTGTCACAAAATTTGAAACATTAGAGGTTTTTTTTGTTTGTTTTGTTTTGCATTCCAGTTTATTTGTGATTTCATTTGGAAGTCTGTTTTATGTAAATAACAAAACAGTCTGTTCAACTGTACTGAATCTGTATAAAGACAACATGATGATTAAGGAAGTGTGCTTGCTCTCCTGGTTGGGGAAGTGGATTCCATAAATGAGTAGCAGCAATGACTAGGACGTGTTGGAGAGGCGGTGCAGCATTTCAGTCTTTTACGTGCTTGGTGGACACGCTGGAAAAGCCTTTAAACTTATAGTTCTTAACTTATTTTGTTTTCCCCCTACCTGACAGTTTGTTTTTGGGTGAAGAAGCAACTTCATAAGGATTAGATTTTGTTTACTGTGACCCCAGTCATTTAAACACAATCGGGGGAAAAAAACCTTGCTGTGCTGCCTTATCAGTGACCTACCTTTCATTAAACCAAAAATCATCAGAGTAGGCAGTGCTTAAGAATGATTCCAACCCAAAGCAAGTTCTGTTAAAGCTCCAGTAACATGCTTTGTGATTTTAATTCAATTTTTTTGGTCTGTTGTCCCATTAAAGTGCTGATACTTAAAACGGATCACATTTATGCTGTTTGCATCTATGCTATACAGCAGGTGGAGCCTGAAATGGAGAACATTATTTGTAGTCTTGTTACAACTTGCTGCCGGAGAGGCAATCCAGTGCATGCAGATGTGGTCAGGACAACCAAGATCAAGATCAAACTAAGCCTCAGAATGAAGGGAAAATGGTGATTTTAAGTGATTTTGAACATGGCCTCATTGTGGGAGATGGGTGGATCTGAGAATATCAGAAACTGCTGAACTACTGGGGATTTTCTCACAACCACTGCTAGGGTTTACAGAGAAGGGTCTGAGAAGGAATCTGGTACCCAGGGAGTGGCAGTTCTCTATAATGTCGGTGACAGAGGTCGGAAGAGAATGTCCAGACTGCTGTAAGCTGACAGGAGGGCAACAATACCTCAAATAACCCCATGTTACAATCAAGATTTGCAGAAGAACGTATCTGAATTTGCAACAGTCTTGGAAGTATATGGATTACAGCAGCAGAAGACCACACCATGTGCCACTCCTCTCAGCTAACAAACTGAGGCTATAATTTACACAGGCTCACCAAAACTGTCTCTAGTATTTTTGCTGATCATGTCCATCGCTTCAACATCACAATGTATGCCTATCTTCTGATGGTAGCTTCAAGCAGGATGGTGCACCATGTCAAGCTCAATCATCTCAAACTGGTTTCTCTAATGTGACGATGAGTTCACTGTATTTACACAGCCTCCACAGTCACCAGATCTCAGTCCAATACAATCCATCCAAAAGGTATCCACAGCGCTTCATTTGTTCCACATATTGTCGTGTTACATATTTATTCCAAAATGGATCAAATTAAATTTTCACCACGTTCTACACATTATACCATACAATGGCAAAGTGAAACATGTTTGCTTGAAATTCTTTCAAATTTATTAAAAATTGCCAAAATTAAATAAAACAAAAAAACAAGCAGCCTAACAAGTCTATTAAAGGATGATGCTACAAGTTTGGGAGAAACTGCCCAAAAACAGGTGTGCCAATCTTTTTTGCAGAACATTTTGAGCTTCATCAGGTTGGATGCTGAGCCATCTTCAGATCTCTCCAGAGATGTTTAATCAGGTTCAGGTTTGGGCTCTGGTTTGTTCACTCAAATTCATTCACAGTGATCAGGAATCCACACTTTTGTTATCTTGACTGTGTGATTAATGTTCTTATTCTGTTAGAAGATGAACCTTCACCTCTGCACCGGAGTAGTTTATCATCAAGGATGTCTCTGTACATTGCAGCTGTCATCTGCGTTTCCCACAACCCCAACTAGTATCCCAATTCCTGCTGACAAAAAACATCCCCACAGCCTGATGCTACTGCCACCATGCTTCACTGTAGGGATGGAATTGACCAGGTGATGAGTGGTGCCTGGTTCACTCCAGACATGATTCTTGGCATTCAGGCCAAAGAGTGCCATCTATTTCATCAGACTGGAGAATTTTGTTTCTCATCTGAGAGCACTTCAGGTATCTTTTGTTGAACTCCAGATGAACTATCATGTGCCTTTTTCTAAGCAGTCACTTCAGAAATGTTTCTGTACTATTCCCCAGATCTGTGCCTCAATACAGTCCTGTCTCAGAGGTTTACAGACAATTCTTTAGATTTCATGTCTTCTTTTATGCTCTGTCATGCACCGTCAACTATGGGATCTTATAACACATGTATGAGCGAGCTTTGTTTACCAACGACCCTGTCGCTGCTTCACTGTTCCTTGGAGCCCTTTTGATACATACTGACCACTGCAGACCGGGAATACTCCACGAGAGTTGCAGTTTTTAAGACGTTCTAACCCAGTCGTCTACAGTCATCACAATTTGACCCTTGTCAAACTCGCAAGATCCTGACACTTGCCCATTTCAGTAGCTGGGACCACATCCTCAGTTACGATGGGCGATGAGGGATGAGGAAGTATGAACTGGTGCTGCGGTTTGGGGAAGGCCTTGAAGGGGACTGGCAATAGGCTCCTGGGCCAGGCAGATCCCCATGTACTAATGAGAAGTGAATGAAGGAAAGGAGGAGAGGAGAAGAGAGGAAAAATGGGGGGGCGGGGGCATGAAAATGAGAACAGCAGGTATTGGTGAAGGGGAGCTTTTATGGCCTGAGCCCAGAGGGGGGGTGAAGGAGGAGTGGTCCCGCTCCTGAAATTCAGATGATATTTCCACTTTTTTCTGCTTCTAGCCCATAACAATTTGAGGACAAAAAGTTCACTTGCTCTCTACTAATGAATGAATACATAATCAGTCTTATCCACCTCACCTGTCAGTGGTCATAATGTAATGCCTGATCAGTGTACATTTGCACTCATCCCTATGGGCAATTTTTAATCCCCAATTTACCAAACCTCACTAACTGCAAGCCACATGGGAAACACATGTAAACTCCCTTGGCTTTTTTGTCAGACCAATTAAAAAACTAAATAGATATATATACGTGTGTGTGTGTGTGTGTGTGTGTGTGTGTGTGTGTGTATATATATATAAAATAAAAAAGCTATACAACAAAATAAAATATACGTTAAAACGTACACTTGCTATATATTTTTAAGTGGACTTTAATAAATATTTGGCGCCCTTTAATTTCATGTGAAAACCAACATGATCAAGAAAACAACTTAAAAAGCCTCATCAACACAAGCGTCACAGACGTCCACCCGACAGTTCAAAATAACTACAGCCCCCATGAGCCAATGCTCCTAAGGCCGTCCCCTCCCAGAGCCCTGAGCTCTAGTCAACCGCTCTGTCCCCGCCTTTCTACACCACGTGATCGTCTCCGGCCAATAGGGAGTGTCGTTACAGGCGCAATGCGGGTGTCGGGATGTAAGGAGCAATGGCGACGGTCGAGACGGTTTTGGAGGTTTGAGTTGAGCTGGATTTGACCAAAAGAGGCAGATTATAGGTAGTTTGGACATTCACACACGTAAAGACCATATGTAAGATAGGAGGTTTGTTTATAGAGAGGTGCTGTAGCGGTTAAACAGAAATATGATAAAGCACTTTAAAAAAGCAATGAAACGATAGTAGAATGAATAAGGCTGAGTGTTATTTCAATTAAAGTTTCATACTATTATAAATCAAAAATAGACTGTTTTACTGGTAACATTTAGTCACAGCTCCCTTTATTCTTAATACACGTGTATATTTTATTTTCCCTCTTTTTAAATTTTTTTAAGGCTTGAATCCCTTCATGTCCTCCTAAAAACAATGGAAACTGAAGTTTGCTCCTTTTCAAGCGTCCTGTCAACCCCCACTCCACAGACTCTAACCAGTCAGGCCAACCTGGCAGCAAAACAGAGAGACAGCAGAAAGTCCTCAGCTGCAACTCCTGCCTTCCTCTCCAACCTGGGAAGGGCCACCCTGCGGGGTATTCGCAAGTGTCCTCAGTGTGGGGTCTACAACGGCACCCGTGGGCTCAGCTGCAAGAACAAGGCCTGTGGGGTGTCCCTCCGGAATGCTTCATCCACGGGCAGAAGCAGCAGGAAATGTGCTGTGGAGGTGGTTAAAGTTATAATCGACAGTGAGGTGAGAGGTGGGAAAGAGCAGGAGGGACAAGGGGTCCTGGGCAGTGGCTCAGGCGGAGGTGTGCAGGTGTTCTCGGTATGTCACAGGGGAAGAGGAGTCACAGGCACACAGTGTGGCTTTGTGGAACTCGTTCCCACGGATACTGCGATTGCCACTGGGGATGGCCCCACCCTGCTCACCCGCATCAACCTGGGCCGCTGCTTTTTGCCTTCCTGCAAACAGGGTCAAAGATCGAATCAGGGTGAGTCACCTGCAGCCAAACAGTCCTCCGAGAGCCTCTGTGTCCACATCAAACAAGCCATAGAGTGTCGCAGCCGTGCCACCCCACTGACGTTCAAAAGTTCAGTCCTGGAGGGTTTGAAGGCCTCAGATCAAGTCAAAGAAGAGCTGTGGCGGCTGGCCACGGAGTCTCCGGGGCCCCTGGTGCAGCGCGTTTCTAAAGACACGCTGGTGGTGAAGTGTCACACGGACTCGCACCATCCACTGGGGCTGCTGCATCTGACTGTAGGCGCAGGGGGGCCGTCATCAGAGGCTTTGAAGAGCGAGAGAAGCATTTTTCACTGTGCCTGCCAGGTTAACACGAGAAGAAATAAAGCCGGCGTGGACGGAGCAGGCGGCTCTCAGCCGCCTCCCAGCTCTTTCACTTTGCAGCCCTGCCTTCACTTCTTTGCCTGCGTGTGTGCATTTGCAAGCGACGAGAAGCTGGCCTCAGAGTTTTCAGCTTTCCTCAACTACGCCTCCAGCGGTACGGCAACCCAGCTGATTTCAACCAGTTTCGAAAGAACCTGGCAGCAGACTGGGATTACATTAGTACTCAAGTGTTGTCAGACAAGAGTACTGAATCCAGTCTCTTTATTTATGAAACTTCTCAACAAGCAAAAAGATACATACATACATTAGTGATAATAACCTGTCATTTTGTAGGGCTGCAGAGGAATACTGTTAAAAAAACAGCAATTGAATGCACATGATGTTTACTAAGAGACTTGGCAAAAATCAGAGTTACACATTTTTTCTCTGACCTGTAGTGCTTTTTTTTTTTTTTTTTTTTAAATCAATCCTGATCGTTTTGGTGTGAGTTGCCCTGAGCTGTGGGTATGTCTGCCTTTCTTGAATGCAATGAAACCAGAAGGCTCGACTTGTAGTACTGAAGAAATATCCATATATTTCAGTTGTTCGGAAGTACACCTGTTCAACTGCTCTATAACACAAACTATCTGATCAGGCAATCATATGGCAGTGACTCAGCGAAGGTGACTTGATGACATTCAAACTGGGCATCAGAATGGCAGACTTTGAGCATGGCATAGTTGTGTCACTCTATCACAAGAAAAAGCTCTTCATTGTGCTTTTTTTTCCCAAGTGCCATTTAACCTAAACATAGTCAAGAGAAAGCAGACGTCTCTACAGCCGATATCTCCAAGACTGGGTTTCTAACACCAAAACAATCTAGATGTATAAAAAGCACCACAGACCAGCTTACGGCTTTACTCTTGGCCACAGATGCAGCTCAGCCAACTGTTCCTTCATGCTTAATCACATGTCTTAGCATGTCCCTCTCCTTGTGGTTTTCCTTTCAGGCTTGCAGCAAAAAGTTTTGGGTAGAACAATCAGTCCCTGTGAGAAACCTCTGCAGCAGGCTGAACCCGTCGGCTCTCATCCCAGAGCCAAGAAGCTTCACCTGGATGAATCTGTCTCTGGTGGTTTGATCGTAATTCTTTCTGGAAAAACTGAGCACAAATCATTGTGTTCATCGATGTTGCTCTAAATCTGCTGTTGTCCTCACTTCTCTTCCTGTCTTATCTTTCTCTGTCATTTCCTGCTGCCTCTGTGAAGCCCTCTCAGTGGCTTCTGTCTCTGGGGTGGGGAAGGAGGGAGTGTCGGCCTCTTGCCCAAGGAAAGCTGGTCACAGGAGAGCCCCTGGTGCTGGTGGGCCGAAGGCTCCAGGTGCTACCTCCTTGCCTTGTCTCACCACTGGAGCCTTTCCCTCTCTCTTGTGTGTGTCTGTTAAAGAACCTTACATCTCCTCAGACGTCTCTCTTTGTGGTTGTCATTTCATCTATCTAATCTTGCAGCACTTACCCTGATCCACTGTTCAAAAAGAACACAGAAGATATTATAACAGTTGTAGCATATTCTAACGTTTAGTTCAGGAAAATGTCTGGATTCTTTTTTAATCTGATTTGAAGACTAAATATTTGTATGTCTCAGGGAGCACTCAGGCCGTGGATGAGCATACGGTGATGATGGGCTTCCATCAGTGGCTGGCGAGTGTCACAGAGAGGATCCACCTGGCCATGCACTACCAGTGTGACGGTAAAGTTGAAACAACGATTCAAATGAAAGTATTTTCAACAAATTAAGCCATGAAATCTTGCGTCTTTGAGAGTAGTGTCACCTGTCTCCGGTGGTACAATGGAGACTTTTACATAGAAAATATCCTCATGTTTGACATCATACCGAGCCACGAGTAGAAACGAGCCTGAGTTTTTGTCTCACAGAGACTTCTTATTCATTTGCTTGTAGAATAGAATGTCTTTATTGTCAGTATGCAGATATACAATGAGATACAGGTCAGATACAGAGATAGTATCTCATTATATGAAACTTTAGCCAACACTTAATAAACACTTTCACCCTCCTTTCACTTTTTTGACCAATAATTGCGCAGGGTCTTCCATGTTGCTCTTCTGTTGCAGCTGTCACATTTTTGGTCATAATTCATAAATGTTTTAGTTACTTTACATCCAGTGAAACCATAAATCAGTAAGAAGCAAATCACTACAACAAAAATGTATTTCCAAGTTATCAACATGAACAACATAACAGATTATTAAAAATTAATGATGCAAAAAACCTTTATTTGGAAGGGTTCACTCGTTTAATTGTTAAATATGCTGTACTTGCTGTATTTAACCACCAGGGGGCAGCGCAAACACGCTGTTAACACATTTTAAATTGATGAACTGGGGAGCACACAGTTGTAGTAACAAAACACAAATATTATTCTGCTTTTGATGAAAATATCAGTTTCTAGTTGCTTATTGCAGAGCTGTAAAACAAAATTAAACGATTTAATTAATTTTTATGTAATTTAATAATAATAATAATAATAATGTATACTTTATTTATCCCCGTAGGGAAATTACTCTCTGCATTTCGCCCATTCACTCTATTGAAGCAGTGGGCAGCCAATCCAGCGCCCGGGGAGCAGTGTGTAGGGACGGTACCTTGCTCAGGGGTACCTCAGGGTAGCCATTCAGTGGCCCCCATTTTATTTAATTTATTCAGTGAAAACATACAAACTCTCTACATCGACTGTGTTTACATCGGCAGTTTAATTCACTATTAGTTATATAGCGCCAAGTCCCAACAACAGTCAATTAAAGGCACTTTGGGTAAAGACCCTACAGTAAGAGAGAGAGAGAAAACCCCAACAATCAGATGACTCCCTAATGAGCAAGCATTTGGCGACAGTAGGGAGGAAGAACTTCCTTTTAACAGAGAGAAGAAGTAGAATGGGGGAGGCTCTCCCATTCTACCTTTAAATCTCCTACGAATCACAAGTAAGCTTGCAGTCTGGGGTGATATGGTACTATGGTATGGAACTTGATCACAGTACATGTTTCTGCAACATGACAGGCTTTAAATTTCTCACTGCGCACAGAAAAAAACTGTTTCTTTTTTTTCCCCATCAGGGAAGCCAGAGCCTCTGGTCTACCACATTCCTCAGGAGTTCTTCAACGCTCTGCAGCAGCGTCTGTCGCTCGGATCCAAGAAGAGGAGACTGCCTAACTTCACAACAGGTGGGAACATATTAGGCTTTAAGTAAGACAGAAATCAGAACCACACAGCTGAGCATCCAGGCGATGCGAGTCTAGCGTTGTGTAGCTCATCCTGGAAAAGAACCAATGAGCTTATCCCAGGTTGAGGTGTCCGTGTGTTCACAGGTCACAAGATTCGCTACTTCAGAACAGAGTGATGTCTGAATTTAGGTGCACACAATTATCATGTAACGGGTCTTTGCCCAAATTGTGCTTAAGATCATAATGATCATTTTACAGGCAGTAACCTGTGAATTGTGATGCAAACGATGTCAGCGACGTTCTGGTTCGTCACCCAGAAAGTACTTGATAATCTTACAAATTACAGCACAATGGCAGATATTAAACTAGTGACTCATGAACCATCGTAACGCAGCCACGCAAAAGCCTTGCAAATGGTTTTAAGTTTCAAGCCAATGGAGGTCATTTTTATCATCTTACAAATCATTAAAGAGAAAAGAAAATACTCAAAAAATGAAATGCTGTAAGTCTGCCTTCATCGCCTCGTTACTCTTCTTGTAACCCTTTGCAGTAACTGTGAATGTCTCCTGTGAATCTGGGTACTTCCAGCTAAATAAGCCCAGAAATTTGTACTTATGCGATACGTCTCTCTCTCTGTGTCTCTGTCTTATTTGTGTGAATGTCAGCATTTGTGAGAAACGATGGACTTCCTCAGACCTCTTACTCCAAGTACACCTGGCACATCACCAATCTGATGCAGGTCAAACGCATCTTTGACACTCCTGAGGTAAACGCTCGCATCTATTAAAAAAAAATAAAAAAATCACACAGCATTTCTTTCATGAAAGATCTTCATTAGTGTTTTTTTGGCAGACCCCAGACCTCTTCTTACAACTTCAGACCTCTTTCTTCTTGTCTTGCCCAACAGCTGCCGCTGGAGGTCACTCAGAGTTTTGTGAAAAACGCAGACGGTTCGTACTCACATTTTCGCTGCCCCGAGCCTCCGCCTGAGTTGGAATCACTAGAAGGATGCAAGTCAGATCGGCCGCAGGCGATACGACCAATGGAGCTCCGCACCTTCCTCAAAGTTGGTGAGTATCTTTTCTTTTTTTCTTTAGTTTTTCTTCTTTTACACCTGAAGTCAGCCTGCACAGCCATGTTTACGCTGCTGTTTCTCGAGCAGGAGCAGCAGATCAGAAGGAGGCCTGCCCGTTTGTGATTGACTGGATCCCAGACGTTCTCCCTCGCTGTCACGTGGGAGAGCTCAGGATCAGCTTTGAATTTGGCCACCAACAGAGCGGCCAGCCCGAACACGGCGACAAAATGAGCGCGGCAGAGAAAGGAGGCCGTAATAAGTCAGACTGTCCCCAACACAAACTCACAAACACTGTCGAAATTCTACAGGTCGTTGTCTAAACACAGCATGACATGTGTCTCCTCATGTGTCCCACTCATATATATATACATATATATATATATATATATCTCCATGTGTTAATAATAGTATTATGAAACGTGTGAAGGAACAAGTGTGTTACACTGTATAATATAGATCAGTAGAAAGCTAGACTGTACTGGAGTTCTCATTTTATTGTGTATTCCTTTATGCAAAAATATTTAAAATACATATTAAAAATCAACAGTTTATTTTTTGAAACAGATTCTGTTTTTTTTTGTTACTTTGTAAAGATAAGAAAAAAGTCCGAGATTGATTGTACAGTAAAAAGTGTGCAAAATAAAATCAGGAAAACAAAGATGCATTTACTGCCCTGTGTGTTCTGCTGTGTTTTCATCTTGGGAAACTCCGAAATGAATTCTTAGGCCTTTTCTTTATGTCCAGATGATCAAATGATTGATGATCTGGTTCTTATATGGAGCTTTAAGCCTGATTCATTCATACAAGTACATTTTTCCTTCGCCTTAGCACTTTCTATCTCACATTGACACCCCAGTGAAGGAACTGGAAGTTACTCAAGGTTTAGTGTCTTGCCAAGGATAATTTGGCATGCAGACTGGACCAGCAGAGGGTTGAACCATCAACCTTCTAATTAGTTGAGGACCTACTCCACCTCCTGAGCCACAGCCACATCATTTAGTCATGTGATTAAACTGGTGATTCTCAAATTTAGAAGAACAGGTAAAAACAGAATCATATATAGAAACATTTAATCCAGCATTTGAAAACTAATTATCAGCATATACATTAAAAGAGGCCATTTGTGATCTGATGATCAGAGCTGGTTCTCAGGCAAAGACCGAACCAGAAGGTACACAAGGTCAGGAGAGGGACCAGGAGTATGCTGGCCTTTCACAGAGTGGTGTACCTCAGGGTCAAAGCACAAAGCTGTCAAACCACAGTTCTGCTGTAATTGTGTGAGGCGCTTGATGGAGGACAGTCAGCAAAAAGGATAAATTGCTGCCATTTAACAAGCTGACTTTCAGCAGTTTGCAGGTCTGGAAAACTGAAGCCAAAGCAAAGCACCTCCCAGCCACTAGAGGGGAACACCTACGGTTGAACAAAGTCTTCCAGTCTTGTAGAAAACACCCGACTGTTCTGACCTCAGTAAGCGCTTTACTGATAAGTTTAATAAACATCATATTTACTTAGTCAATTATGGTCATTCTAAGAGTCAGAACTTGACTAAGTAATTAGTGACGTCACAGTGCAGTCCATCTTTTATACCGTCCATGGTTGTTGTCACGCCATCGTGCACGCTGGAGAAGATCCAGCCTTTACTGGAAATTCATACATGCAAGGAGTCAGACCAGGACTTCCAGCCTAATCTAATAACAGCCTCTGTGCTGGGAGGCAGTGCAGTGTTACAGAAGGACAACTTTCAAGGTGTAGACAGCCAGTATTAAATTAGTTTTCTTTTTTAAGAATTTTTTTTTGTCATACCTACCCTGTCCAACTTTTTCTGGTGACATTTGTGAACATGGCTTGATTTTCTGGCCGTTCTAATCCACAGTCCAGCTACATGTACATTAACAGGTTCATTGTGCAATATCCAGCTGTAAACTGGATTCCCCCATTATGTAGTTTGGAATTGGAAAATGTGATTAGTATTCCCTGGAGACATCTCCGGTGTATTTCTTTTCTCTATTTGTAGCGTGCAGTTTGGTGAAGATGCTCTCTGAATTTGCATGCTTAGACGTCACAATATCACAGTCAAATTCAGATGACTGCACGAGCGCTCGTGTTCTCATTACAGTGGAAGTCCTGCTTTACTTTTCCGGACGAATGTACATAACTGTTACCAGCAGATGGAAGCAGCGTCCTGCTCCTTTACCTACAGCATTTGAGCAAACACAAATTGAAGAAGTGTAAAAATGGAGGAGAAATGAGTGTAAGAAGTGCCTCGTTTCACTCTGTTCCTCTCAGGAAATGAGTTAATATAGAATAAAATTAGGTGTATAACTGCATTTCATAATTTGGCTTCATCCCTTTTTTCTCCCTTCTGGGCATCACAAAGCGGCGATTACACACTTGCTGTGTGATATATCGCTGGAAACATCACACATGCTTACAAAATGTGTCCAAATGCTCATGAATTAATTAAGATTACAAGTTAATGCCATGAGGACGTAACGCCAAATTATATGCAGCGCTCAGAATAGCAGCTTGCACACTGTGTATCTACATGGTTGGTGTAGGCGTTTAAGAACAGTGCCAGCCCCCGGCCTCGTCGTCCCTCACAGGCCCCCAGGACATCAGTGTGAGTACAGCCTCTGCCTGTGCAGGAGGGGGGTGGAGGGTGGGGTGCAGGTTTCTGCCAGACAGCTCTGAGGAATACATTTAGCTGTTTATGTAGTCTGTCAGTCACAGAGATGGGAGACACATCAATCCTCTCCTGGAAGGAATAGCGAGCACATTGTGACAGAGAGACTTCCTCCATCACCTAAAAGATGTGTTATAGAAAGAGACAGCAAAGGCCTGAGAGGGTGGGAGGGCTCATATGTTGCTGGAAGCCAGAAAAGTTGATTTAAATTTAAAAAGACTAAAGTGGTTTTCAGTAAAATTAATGGTCTTAAAAAAAAGCCTCAAGATTGAAAAGCTGCTAGCATGTCAGTCACTGCACGGTGGCAAATGTCAGTTCCACAGTGGTATGTCACAGCAGTGTTATGTCACAGCTCTTGGATGGCACGCTATACCATACTTTCCAACAGTGTGTGTCACATCAGTATGCAAATTTTATGCCAGTGACATTGTTTCGGGGTGGGTGTTTCTATCTAAGCTCGTCTTTTATCAGAAACGCACCAGAGGCTGATACTACAGCTAACCTTTGCTCAAATGTCCATGGTTTCTTTAACTGCTGTAACCAGTCTTTCTAACCAACGAGAGTGGGCTGATCCAATTTAGGGAAGCCATTTGCTAACAAGAAGCAAACCAAGAACATACAGTGGCTTGCAAAAGTATTCGGCCCCCTTGAACTT